TGTGTGTGTGTGTGTGTGTGTGTGTGTGTGTGTGTGTGTGTGTGTGTGTGTGTCAGCCAGTGCCTGGGTTGAGGGGAGCCAGGCTGCTGCAACAGAGGGTGTATCAAACAGATAAGAGGATTGGCCTCTCCACTTTGGCTCTGATATAACAATGTCTTTCCCTAAGAGCACAGACGACATAACAACAATCTTTGGGGGGAGGGATAAAGAACAGCGAAGTTGAAAGGACAAGAGTAGCAGACTGAAAGAGTTGGCCCAGATGAGGCTGATTAGATAGGAAAGGCTGGAAGGAAAACAAAAAGCAAAGTTTTTGTATGTTTAAAACTGCCTCTTTCTCAGTGCTGTGTGGCCCGGAACCAGCTGCAGGTTAATGCCTTACGCAGGCTAAATGTTGAGTAAATACAGGGTGTGTCTGTAGGCTGGAGCTACTGTATGTCTCTGTCTTCTGCTGTGTTTTTCTGCTCACAGCGCAAACACAGATCTTGTTGACACACTCGTATGGTATTCTCACTGTGTTGCTGTTTTTCTAACAGGTGCCTTCAGCCTTCACTGAAACATTTCTCCCTCTCTCTGTCTTTATCATTCTGTTCCCTCCACCTCCCCGTCTTCTTGCTTCCTGCAGTCCATTCCTCCTCGTTTCTGGGCTTGGTGGTTCGGTGTCCTCCTACACATGAGCAGCTAGAGCTCAGCCTCTGATCTTGGCGTGATCTCTCACCTCTTCTATCCAAACCACACCCACAGGTGAAGGTTTGTATTCCTGATTTTTCTCTGAAACTTTGACTGTGTTGGTGCTGGTGTGTGTTTTCTGTCCAAACAGTAAAGAGAAGTATGCGGTTCTTCCTAAAACGAATGTCCTCTCTTGTGATGTTAAGCTTCCTCCACTGTTTATTGAGGGTGCTTCTGTTTTTGTGAAACAGGCCTCCTCTTTTGTTTTTAACAGATGCTATACCACCATAAATGAACATGCTGATGCACAGATACAAATAAATAGATATAAATATGTATAGGTACATGAGAAACTTAACATTCTTCAAAAAGTAGAGCAAAAATATTGTTTCCTTCTTTTTAAAAGTCAAAGTATGCTTATAGTCTTTAGATAATACATCAGTGCTGGTATACAAAGTCTAAAACCTGCACACGATTTATCTAAAAATCTTTCCATATCTATTGTTTTAGTCTCAGTAAATATTTTCTCTTGTAGAATCTATGAGGACACAAACTCTGAGGTCTCCTCAATGCACACGTTGTCATATGTAGGGCACGGTGATATTGACAAATTGAATATTATGAAACTATCTCTGCATTTATGTCCATTGCAATAGCAAGGGTTTTAAGACACTGCATCATCTGTCCCCCCTCCTCCTCCTGTTGCATTTTCTCTTGTTTTCTCTTTCTCAGATCAGACAAATTTATATCATCATGTCAACTGAATTATAGTTTGAGTGGCACTAACTGGGTGGTTTATGATTCTGTTGCATTTTCATTTCAGCGAACACTATCCTGGACTGATTTCACTGCTGCCCTTACCATTAACAGCGATTCTTTTCACATGCTTCTTGTGGTAGTAGGTTTTATCAGTGCTGACATGGTTAAGTTATGCTAAAGTCAGCATGAAATTTGAAGCAGAACACTTTCAAACTTCGGAGGCGTGGAAAATAATGTTTTGAGACCAAGACAGGCATTCTTGAGAATAGACGTTGTACAACATTTTCTTTTATTTACACCGGGCTGCATGATATGATCCAGATCCCATACATTCAGACAACTATATATGTATTGATACACGTACCCTTTCTTGACCATGTAAATTGGGCCATGCCTTTGCAGATGTTCATTTGCAACAGCAGCTGTTATCTCCTTCTATCTTAGTAAGTCTTTGCCATATGGTCTGCCACAGGCAAAAGCCTCTTGCAATGTCTGCAACATCACTTGAGCACCCGACTGAACTTCAGTGGCTCTCAGCCATTCGCTCCTCCCGCACCATTTTTCATTAATCTTGCGTTTATGTAAAAGAGGGTTAGTGGTTCGTGACACTTTTGTAAGGGCTGGTCTGCAGCTTAATTTGCTACGGACAGCTTTTTCGTTCATGTCAGACTTTTCATACCCAAACAAGGTCCTTGAGTGAGTTCCCCTTTTGACTGGTCAGAGTCCTCCTCCTGTTCTTAACGGTTCTGTGACACATTTACTCAGCATTTCCTTCATGCAAATTTCCTGCCTGCACCCTTACAGTGTGGAAGAACAAAAAGCCCCATTCAAATGATGAAGTATTGCTGTAGAAGAGTGATTTGCAGCACATTAAAATAAACAATAGACCATAATATGAAACAGGAGATTTCCTTCACCACACAACATATATCATTATCACACTGCACTACTGTCTGTATTAATAAATCAGGCCAAAGGTGCATTTCTATTGCTGTACAATCCCAACAGTACATAAAGATGGATGATGTGTTTCCATTTCCTCTTATTATACAAAAATATCAACCAAAATATTCTGGATACAGGTGCTGAGTCTGCACAGCCGTGACTTGGTGCCACTGATCCATCTGCTCGAACCTATTTCAAATCAGTCTTAGCTGTCAAATAAAATCAAATGTAAAATATTTACTCTTGAACATAGATCAGAGTAAAAAGAACTACCTAAAATGGGAATGATTTATTTTATGTACTATGTATTTTTTATTTCTATTTGGCTCATGTCCCCCACCAGGGGATGATCATGATGCTTTGGCTTCTTCTCTGGCGAGCTGTCATGTGGTCTGTTTTTATATACGCCATTGGTGTGGATGGGTTTCATTCATTTGAGCCTGTGTTATAAAACAAACTGTCAGCAGACAAATCAGATCTGACTCAGCATCATCACAAGTATCCTGCATCCAGTGGATGTGGCTATACTCTGTCAGTTTTGAGAGGTGTGTCTGTTTATGTTAGACTCCCTCTCCCTGTGCGACTCAGGGTATGTGTATGGCAGTGTGTAACACCCCCTCTCTCCCCTTGGGGCTGTGTAGTGTGTATGGAGCAGTGTGAGAGCGCAGCGGCTCTGCTGGAGTCGGTCAGGGAGCAGGAGGTGCAGTTTGAACAGCTGACCCGGGCGCTGGAGGAGGAGAGGAGGAGAGTGGGCCTCTCTGCCACCAGCCCCTCTGCCTTAGGTCGCCCCCTCCCTCACACACAGGTAATGCTCCCAATCAAAACCTAACAACCCCTTTCGGAGTTTCGTAGATGTCTACAGCCTCCATCTTTTACCTCCAACACATGGATCGTCATTCCCGCCATCCATTCAATCAATGCATAATTTTCTCCCTTTACATCCATCCCTTCATCATTCATCCCCCCTCTCCTCTGCCTCGCCTTTTCTTCACAAGCGCTCGACGAGTTTTTGTCCGCACGTCATCATCAAGTGTCTTTCTTCATTGTCTCTGTATCTCATAAGACCATCTGTCTGTTGGCCCTCATCCTCAAACGAATCAGTTTGTGCCTCTGCATAGTTGGACTGCTTTAACATGCCTGAGTTTGTCATCATCACACACTTTCAGCATGCCTTCAGTGTCACTCAGCGGATACACACTCTGACACACAAATGTTTACACCTTGTAGGCCTAAGCTGTAGAAGCTGTTATTTTCCTCTGTTGCAGCATGTTGTGTTCTGGTATGTGATCAACTGTCATGCATGTGAATTGCATTATTAAACATCCAGTGTGGTAACTTTTTTTTATTGTATATAATTTATTAATTTATAACACTTGATGAATGCCATGTATATTACTTCTGTTGTGGCTGTTACATACAAATTGGGTTTTGTATGTTGAACATCTACAAATCAAGCTCTGTGTAGAATTTATATAGTAAATAACTTTTTTCCTTATCAGTTTTTATTTCTCCTACATTGTATCAGCCCCATAGCCTATGTTTTAGAGTTGTTTTTTTTAAACTATATTAATAATAATAATACCATACAATTAAACTGAGAATTTGTAACATTAGAGAATTTGACAAACTGTACTCCTGCTATTTGTGTTTATCAGGTTTCCAGACTCCCACTCTTGTGTATACAGCTGGGTTTTTGGTTGGACGTGGTTCTACTATTTCCTCTGCATTTGCCATATTGTAGACTCATTATTTCAATTTAGAGCCATTATTATGGTCTCAGGTAACCCAAAGGTCAGGCATTGCAATATTCAGGAGCTGACATTTAAGCTTATGTTTAGGACATGGTTGTATAAGGTTTTCAGTCGAGTAGTTTAAAATGTATTCCTTAATGTTTTCCTTCCTTTAAGGGCATCCTGACATAGATAGATCGTATATTTAGTCTTTTTTGAATCCTTGGAAAGGACTTCTTCTGATTAGTGTCTAGGAGCAGGAGGATGGTGGATAAGAGAGAGGGATTTGGTGTTTTTGGCCTTGTGCTACATGGTTTATATCTGAAAATATAAATGGGAATGACGATATGCATGATTTTAAGCTATTCGTAAATGAAGTGGTATTAGAGGAAGGAGCAGCTGTAGGGGAAGTGCGCCCATCACTTCAGATTGCATATGAATAACAGCCCTGCCTCCTTGTGGACATACCCTTTAGTGCAGTACACAATACTCCCACCAGTGAAGTGGGAGTCAGTGTTTGATGAGGCAACATTGTCTGGTATTTAAAAGTAGTTTTTCAAATAGTAGCCCAGTCATCTTGCGTTCACATGGGATTTGGCTTGAGGCTATTGCTCATATCTTGATATTACATCGAATAGGAAGTGTTGCTCAAGGCTGGGTAGAAAATATGAGTTATACAGAGTGACAGTCATTGATTATGTAACAGACTAAAAGGGGGGGGGGGGGGTTGAATGGCTACACTCCAAAATGTCCTTCTCAAAGTCTGGCAGTGATTCACAGACCATGAACATGCAGGGACGGTGTGGTCAGCAATGAATGTGCTTCAGCTGCAGTAATATCATCTGGGTGGTTGTAAGAAAGTAGACAGCTCTGACTTCTGGGAATCAGGCGCTCAGGCTCACTTGAATGACTAATTTAGTAAAATTGTTGTTGGTTTCATATTATTGTTACACTGTGTGTATTTCAAAGTTGTGTGTCTCTTTTATCCCAGAACGGGCGTTTAGGTGATGCAGACATAGAACGACTGAAATTGACTGACGCTTACATAAACGGCACACAGGTATGTGTTTTTGTTTGTAAATGGTTATGCAAATTTCATTATATTTATACCAGGGATTTTGACTGATGTAAATGTGTGTTGTGTCTCTGCTACAGTACAGGATGGTGGACCCTGCACACGGCGCTCTAGATGAGAGCTACACACCAGAAGATGACTCACAGGAAGTGCACTCTGTGTTTTCGGAAGAGGGAACCACAAGACGGCTAGACACAAGTCTCCCTCAGATGAAGAAACCAATTTCACGCACAGTCCTGCCCTCCGACTCCATGTCCATCGATGGGGGCTTGTCAGTGTCCGGTATGGGGGGCTACAGTGCCACACTTGACCGTCCTTACAGGCAGCCTGTAGCAGGAGATTACCCTACTGCCACAGTACCCAGAAACTACCACTACGCCCCTGTAGGGGCTTACGACGACTACCGGGGGGGCCCGCCATCAGAAGCATACACTAGCCTGAGCAGGGGCTCACACATGGATGAGCGCTATAGGTATAAGACCCTCCTATAATGGCACTGTTATTTCATGATATAATTCTGGATGTAGCAGTGTGTGATCATCTAGTTTTTATAAGTGTACATTAAAACACCATCCTTTCAGTCAAACCAGAATTTCAACTGCTAAAGCAGGTCTGGTTCTCCATCTGTATGGTTTTTTCACTAAAGTATTCACTCAGACAACAGTCATTGTGGTCTCAGTGGTTTAACTGTACTTTTTCTCTTATATGCTCTTATCTTTATGGAAATATAATGGAGTTGTTCTAAAATCATCTGAGATTGATGAGAGCAGAATTAGCATTACTGTTACACCATAATAATCAGACAGTAATTTATAGTTCACGAAGAAAACATGTTTTCCCATTTAAGAACATCAATGAATATCAAATCTACTTTTGACTGCTGAGAATCAGGTGTGAAGCCAGATAATAGGTGATGCACCATTAGATCACTGAGGATGGGATGTATCTATAAAACAAGTGATTACTTCTGTTCTTCTCTTCCCTCCACAGGCCTGTTGATGGCTACAGGACTCTCGATTCTGGCTACCGGGCTCCAAGCCGTCAGCAGCTTGACCCTTACGCAGCACAGCCCCAAGTGAGCCGGGGAATGAGGGCCTTGGGCTCAGCATTGGAGATGCGTTATGGCCACGGCCACTATGGTCTGGAGGATGACCAGCGCAGTGTGGGATATGATGACTATGGTATGGGGGCTCCACCCATGCACCCTGGAGGCTACGGAACCATGCCACGTCTGGGGCCTGGGCCTGGGGGGGTGGACAGACGAAGACTTAGGTAAAACATTGTTATTGTATGTCACACTTGCTTTCTTCATTTGGACCATGTAATTAAATAAGGTATCTGCATAGTGTTAAATCGGAAACTAAAAATATGACTGTTGACCGATCTCATTATTCTGTTCATTATCTCCTTCGACGACATGCAGGAGCTGTGAGGATACTTTGGATGGAGACATGGGAGGAGGTGACCCTTATGCCTGGGGCGTTCCCATGACGATGGACAGAGGCAGCATGGCTTCACTGGACAGCACATTGAGGAAGGGTCCTCCCGCCTCATGGAGACAGCCTGAGCTGCCCGAGGTCATCGCCATGTTGAACTACCGACTGGACCCTGTCAAGACCAACGCTGCCGCTTTCCTCCAGCATCTCACATTCAAAAATGACAAGGTGGAACAAATGCAAATAATTGTGATTCTGTGTGGGGCTATATGGCAAGTCAGTGATACGAGCTTGCTAATGTGCTTGCTTTGTGTTTTTGTCTCTAGGTTAAGTCAGACGTGCGTCGCCTGAAAGGTATCCCATCCTTGGTATCAATGCTGGACCACCCCAGCAAGGATGTGCACCACTCGGCCTGTGGAGCACTGAAGAACATTTCATACGGGCGAGACCAAGACAACAAGATCGCCATTAAGAACTGTGATGGAGTGCCTGCTCTGGTCAGGTTACTGAGGAAAACCCGTGACCAGGACCTCACTGATACTATCACAGGTAACGCTGATCATATAAAGCTAAAATGGATCATTTGTATTTTTTTATTTTTTCGTTTTTATATACACTAAATTGTTATGCATCATAGCCTCATTTATTACTTGAGTGGTCAAAAGATATCACATGCTCGTGAACAAAACATAAGAAACTTGCTCAATGCGGCATGGTTGACTCTTAAGATAGAAACGAAAATAAAACAAACTGTTAAAGATGTTTAACGCTTGTGTTATGATGTGGTATTGTGCATAAAATTGTAATATGACACAGTAAAAACACTAAAAGCAAAAGTAATGCATTTTAATAGTGGTTCTGGCTGCTGTCGCTCTGCTACTTTTCAGACTTTAGAGAAAGTTGTCACTTGGAGATTTAATAATACAGTAAATATTAGTCACTGCACAAGTCAACTATAAACAAATAGATATTAAATGTAGTAAGGATTTCCAACAAGAGTCCTGAGCTCCCATAATATGTAATGGAAGCATTGTGGATGTGTAAACGCTCTGCGTCGGACCTTATCTTTTTATATACAGGGTATAAATAAGGTGTTTTTGAAACAAAATAATCGCATCAAATTGTTTCATTATTTTTACAAAAGAGATGGATGAACGAAACAGAAGATCTAATCTGACTTTTTAACAGCAGCAGCATGATTCAATCATTGATTTTACTTTATTACTTTGATAGCAAAACAGTCAAATTATTCAAAGTGGTAGTGAAAGTATTTATATCCTTCCAGGCACCTTGTGGAACCTCTCATCCCACGACTCTGTGAAGATGGAGATTGTGGACCACGCCCTGCACGCCCTAGCTGATGAGGTGGTCGTTCCACACTCGGGCTGGGAGCGAGCGAGCAATGGTGCAGAGGAGAGCTGCAAACCACGCCATCTGGAGTGGGAAACCGCCTTGACCAACACTGCTGGCTGCCTTAGGTAGGATCAATGAATGGAAAGAAGAGAATGCGAGCGGAGGAAACTTATTTTGAGAAGAAAACATGCAATTATGTGCTAAAATTCTCCCTCTCTCCATCAGGAATGTGAGTTCAGAACGCAGCGAGGCCCGACGAAAACTCAGAGAGTGCACAGGATTGGTGGATTCACTCATGTACATTGTCCAATCACAGATCAACCGCAAAGATGTGGATAATAAGGTACCTAGACTCTTAAGCCAATCAAAGATTTTTGACACTTTTATCATTGGTCCTTCCACTCATGACACCGTGTTCCTGTTTCATCCTCTCTTCCTGTAGTTGGTGGAGAACAGCGTTTGCCTCCTGAGGAATCTGTCCTATCATGTTCATCGTGAAGTCCCCGGCTGTGAACGTTACGCAGAGGCCGCGCCCCTCAATCAGGGACCGGCCACCGCTAACAAAGGTGGCTGCTTTGGCTCTCGAAAGGGAAAAGGTCAGTGTCCGACAGCGACTACAGGTTTGAGTTAATGTGTCTGAGAGATTTGCTGTAGAAAGATGGAGAGCTGCTGCTGCTGCTGGTGACTTTGAGCTTGTTGGTGGCAGAAGTGCCTGTCGCTGTTTTTCTCACTCTACCACTGTTTCCCTCCTTTTCTTCCTCTCTTTCCTCCTCTTATCTTTCTCTCGTCTTTCTTCCCATCCTCCTTCGTTCCTCCTCTGTCTCTGCTCTATTTAGATGAATGGTTTTCCAAAGGTAAGATTCCCCTCTTGGTGTTGTCGTAATGCATTTTTGAAACTATTGGCCGCTCTGTCATCACTCATGTTACTAATGCATCATAACAGTTCCCACGAATGTGAATGTTGAGTTCACTTGGTATGGTCACTCAATGTCAAACACCACTGCATGTCCAAAGTGCTTGTTCCACTGGGTGCATGGTTGTCTTTTACGTAACACTGTCATTAAGCCGAGGACTGAGGATAACCTGAATGCTCATCTCAGCTGGCTTCACTTGATCTGCTTCTTTTCTTCAGCTCTAACTTTTATGTTTTGTCTGGGTTTTTGTTCTCGCTGCAGGAAAGAAGGATGGAGATGATGGAAGTGGAGATCAAGTGGATATTCCAAAGAGAACAACACCTGCCAAAGGTATGTGTGTGTCTTTATCTCTTCATATCATAAATTCATCAATCTGTGACAAAGCTCATTGAAATGACCAGTTTAACCTATACTTACATCCCATTTATCTCTCTATGCCACTGTCAGGGTTTATTCTTGACCCATAAACAGATTTCCTGTAAAACAACAAAATCTCATTCTGGAGAAAAGATGTTTTTCACTATAATGCAAGTGTTGTGAAAGGCTTATTTCAAGTTTCTCCTTTTTATTTCAAATCCAGCAAATAATTGACAGATTCTTAATTTTTTGGACAGAAAATATGTAGAAATAATTAGTTTTATGTTTTAAGATCATGTCTTCATCATGCTACATTGCTATGATTCTGTATCTATTAGGCTTTTATGTCTTTGTTAGTCATAGAGATGAAGATGTTTGGTTTTGAGTCTGAAGCGTCTCACAACACCAGGCTCAGATAGTAGATGTCAGTTTTAAGTGAAACCTGACCTGCACCATGTCCAAGATGCTGAAATGTGATAAACTCTAATCTAAGCTCACTTTGTTCCCTCCCTGTTGACCTCAGGTTACGAGCTGTTGTTCCAACCAGAGGTGGTTCGTGTTTACACGTCACTGCTCAGAGAGAGCAAGAATCCCTCGGTGCTGGAGGCTGCTGCCGGTGCCATCCAGAACCTGTGTGCTGGAAGATGGACTGTTAGTACCATTTCATCACAAACTTATAAAAACATATATGTTTGTGAGCATTTTGAGTCTGTGAAGTGAATTTTACCTCTGATTAGTCGGCTGTGAAAAAAGTACACAATCCTATCGTCTAAAGTTATTGGAGTGACACTGCTGTTCCTGTGTAAAACGACTCATTACTGCTTCCGTCTGCTCGTTCTTCAGTATGGTCGATACATCCGGGCCACTGTGCGTCTGGAGAAGGGTCTTCCCATGATGGCAGAACTGCTGGCTCATGGTAATGACCGTGTGGTCAGAGCGATGTCCGGAGCCTTGAGGAACCTCGCCATCGACAACCGCAACTGTGAACTTCTCGGTATGGACATCAGCTTGTTGAGAAAATTTAGAATTATTATCATGGTTAAGTTTATTTTGTTCACAATATTTGTTCTTTTATGCATGTGATTATTTTTTGAAAGCTGAAATATATTTTGTGTTCCTCCTCTTGTGCAGGTTTGCATGCAGTGCCTCACCTTGTGGCCAACCTGCCTGGAGGCCAGAGTCAATCTGGACGTGTTCTTTCAGAGGAAACTGTGGTTTCTGTACTGAGCACGCTCGCCGAGGTGCTAGGCAACAGCCTGGAGGCAGCAAAGACTCTCCGAGCCTCACAGGGTATTGAGAGGCTGGTGCTTATTAACAAGGATGGGTAAGTGTGTTTTGGAAAGTGAGATATGGGAGGAAAATGGTGTTTTTGATATTTTTTGTGAACACATGCATAGATTCTATACCCCCACTGGGAGAACAGGACATAAGGTCTGAGCCTGAACTTGTCTCTCTGTGTCCCACAGCAAGCGTTCCGACCGTGAGGTGCGGGGGGCGGGCCAGGTGCTGCAGCTGGTCTGGGCCCACAAGGAGCTGCGTCGGCCTCTAGAGAAAGATGGCTGGAAGAAGACGGACTTCATGGTCAACACCAGCACCACCAACGGCCCGAGCACCCGTGCTAACGGCGCCTATGAGGACAGCACCACACCACTGCTGGACAGAGGTCAGAGTCAGAAGTATTGCATGGCTTAAATTTGAACCGTTTTTTAAATCCTACATTTAGTCAAATATTTAAAGATGGTGCGTCTTCTTGTTATGTTTTGTAATCATGTGTTGCTTCATTTTAGGGGAAAAGAGGGACATGATTCCACTAAACGACCTTGGCCCTGGTTAGTCCATTTATCATCACTTTATTTGAATGAGACAAATTTCATAAAGTTTTTTTTCCCACTGTGGTAATTTTCCTCTGCACATTTTAGAGGCCTACTCTACACTGGACCAGAGGGAGAGGAGACACACTCTGGATGAGACCACAGACACTTTACCGGTGCTTAAAAATCCTGCTTATGCACATTCACGTGCTGGATTGCTCACCTAACTTCACTAACAGCTGCTCTCCTGCATCACTAAGACTAATTCCACAGTTTAACCTTTTTTCTTTGACAGCCTTTTTAAACCTCACAGTCACTGATAACTTTTTCTTCTCACACTCACTTCCTCTCTCTCTCTCTTTCTCGTTGTCTCTCAGCGAGGGGTGTATGGGGGCAGAAAGGGCTCCCTGCCTCTGTTGGACTCCTACGATGGTTAGCCTTCCCCCCCTCCCCTCTACTCCCCTCTGCATGTAACAGCATGGTATGTCCAGCTGACCTCTTGTCCTGCATGGACTTTGAGCTCTTTTCCTTTTGTCTTATATAACTTCAAACCCTCAGTGAATCCTGGTCTCTGTTTATAACTGTGGACTCAATCACTGGTTGAGGACTATTGTACTGGTGATGTGTACTTGCTGGTATAGTATGCTGCAAGGTGGTCCACACCGTCTGTCAGTGTAGAGATGAATCTCGGGCTGACAAAGATTTAAGTCCTCTGAACAATAAAGGCTGTTTTTGCAGGAGTGATGTCACAATATCCGAACTTTAATGCCGATGCTAATTTTAATACACTTCAGTTATAAAACACAGTTAAAGAACAGAGGTAATGCAGTGTTTTACTTTTGTTTCCAAACTTTATTCTTTTGAGGAAGGGGTTTTACAGTGACATTCAGCGTGATCCCTATTGTCTCAAAATAGTTTTATGTCTCTCAGAGGAGCAACTGCTGGGATGGGTTTACAGTCACTTTAGGAACGTAGTGCAGTGTTTGATAACATCTCCATGTTGGGGCATATTTGTCTCCAAGTCCTCTGTTGCAGCTTTTTCTTTTGATGCCTTTTTGTTGGTGGTTTGTGATTTGATTTTCAGTGCACGCTCTTGTGGCTTTACACGGTATTACAAAACATGTGGTCAAAATTAGTATCAACAGATTTCTTGTACCACATCTTAATGTTGTTTAAGAGCCAGCATCGATCCGCCTGCTATAGATGCATGAGTTCGATAATGACAGAATGAGGAGGTCTAGACAGGGAAATAATTCAATTTTCTAAAGTAAGATATCGTCTTTTTTTTTTTTTAAATCACACTTTGATAAATTAATCTCTAAGGTTTATATCTTTTGCCATAAGATTGTTGTAGACATGTTTTTGCTACCAGGAAACGATGACTCTGACCTGTTTTCTAATATTTTTACATTTACACAGCACAGGTCGTCCTCCATTTTGTACTTAACTTTTTACCCTCTCACATACTGCATTGATACAGGAAGACACAAGATCTCTATTTATAGATATATTGACACACTTTATATCTCAGGATCATGGGATAATTGTGATGAAATTCAACTGCAGTTACTTACAAATGTAGGGAATTTTTACTTTACTACAGTCACAGGGAAAACTAATATGATTACAGTAGCATCAACTATTAACCAAAGATTAGAAAGAAATTCAAACTTAGTTCAATTTGATATCTGTAGAATTGAACATCTGGATATTGTGACAGCACTCCCATGCAGCTTTGTCATACATATACCACAGAGTGAGTCTTTGTTTCTCCTCCTTGCTCAGTGCGTAAATTAACAAAATAAAATAAAATCTGTTAATATTTATAACATTTTTATAATCTGTGTATTGTTTTGCTCTGCTCCTCCAGAAAAACTGATCGTGTGCATCACTCAGACTGGGCCGTCCCTGCCCTACCACTGCTACTGAGGAGAGAAGATCCAAATGCACAGACTCTCTCCCTCTCCCCATCCCACCCCMCCCCCYTCTCTCTCTCTCTCTCTCTCTCTCTCTCTCTCTCTCTGTGTCTGTCTCTCTCTCTCTCTCTCTCTCTCTCTATCACCCTGCAGATGGGATCAGGAGTTGAGGGTTGGCTTCCAAAGAAAGCAGTTTGTGTTGCAGACATGCAAGTTTGGTGCAGCACAGACCAACTTTTTACAAATTCATTCAAGTTGTAGCAACAAAACTATATTCTGTTTTTGAATGATAGTTCTTCTGTAAAGGCAATCACCTTAGTTGACAATCATTTAATTCTGGTGTTGTCATCCTGCTTTTTTATGTTCATTTTCTTTCTGTTGTCGACATGTTGCTGCCAACACCGTTATCCTGATGATGAATTTGTACGTAGACTTCTATGTAGGGTATATACTGTATATAAAAAGAAAATGGGATCGACTGCATTAGTTTTAGCTCATTAATTTAAATCATCCCTGTACTGGGAATGCTGGGAGGGTGGGACGTGGCGGCAGACCGACAACGTCCCTGTAGATTGAGAATGTTTATATAGGAGTTATTTTCCTGTCTAGAGTTATTTTCTCTCGGTTGGGACGAGCTCAGGCGTGAACAAGAGGAGGCAGGTGTGTGTATATTTGTCATACAGTAAACCTGTGGCTGTGTGTGTGCGGAAAAAAATTAATATGGACCTTTTTGAATGAAAGTGTGTGTGCATGGACCCGACCACGTGTTGATTATCAGCTCGTCGTCTCTTTTTATCGTGTGCTTCTATTCCTGTGACAGAGCTTTTTTTTTATGTACCAACTGCCTCTTTTTTTGTTCGATACTTATAATTTCCATCTTTTCTTTTGCCCCCCCCCCTGTGAAAAAATGACAGTTTCAGCTGCTGTGTTTTGACTTTAAGCAGAAAAACACATCATTGTGAAGCGTGGAACATGCACCACTAAACCTCTTAAACTTTTAGACATCCTGCTTCAGAAACCATTCCATGCTCTTTTATTTAAGGTTAACACTATGGACACAACATGAGTCTTCGGAAAGGTCTCTCGACTAATATTTATCTCTGATTTGTCCTCAAACTGATAAAAATTACTACTTGCTCTTTCTTTGCAATTTTTAGTCATTGAGACGTGCACATTTTCATTCCTGTCGTGCCGTATTTACATAAAATCCCTTCTTCACTCAGAGGAGACTCGAGTTTTTTACAGACTGATTTGGGAGAGACTTTGATGTTTCCTTAAAAGTTGGACAAAAAGCACATTTTTTTTGTCTTGATTCTCTTTTTTTGTACTTTTAATCTGTCTGGTTTGTATTTTATTTCGGGGTTTGTATGTGAGGGAGCGGTGGATGCAAGAATTATGCAATTAGTTCCACTATTTAGTCCCAGTTTTACTGCTGACTTGTTTTAAAGGCAAAAGAGACCAATCATCTTTGTTTTTTTTACTCTCCACTCATATAGTATATTTGTACTGTTGCCTATCCATGTAAAGTTATGATGTACCATTCATACCTGCCTTGGCTCTGAGAAGTTGCTTTTTTCAGTAAAGTATGTAACTGGTAATACTGTTGTTTTTATAAATAAAGATCTTTTCTTAGACAAGATTTGGCAACGTGTCCTTGATGTGGCGGTATCATGTATTGTAGATAAACACGTCTAATTAAAGAGAGGCAGTCTGTCTGTCAGAGTAATTTCATCTCCTCGCTCTTGTTGAGGCCAGTGGCAAACGCACAGACTTCACACTATGTCCTGTACTAACTCCCTAACATCAGTGTGCTGAGTTTGATGTTCTGATCCACTAATTATCAAGGCTTATTAACGAACTCAATGCAGTCACCAGACTTCCTTAAAACTCACCACAACCACGTACATCTCCCAAATTCAAACCTCAAGCTGAGTTCAGGTCTTTACTTATTTCCCTTATGAAGCTTTTTAACTTTAAACACACGATGTCCATGTTGCATAGTTAAAGTGTTGACATTCTCAGCTTTGCTGTCGACTCCAGTTACACACCCAGCCACATGCTGACAGGAAATAGCTGTGTGTGTGTGTGTGTGTGTGTGTGTGTGTGTGTGTGTGTGTGTGTGTGTGTGTGTGTGTGTGTG